CTGAGGATCATGGACTTGTCTCCCATAGCTTCTTTGAAGAGGAAGCTGAGGTCTAAGTCCCCTGTCTGCCTCAGAGGACCATCACCTTCCCAAGAGACCCTTAGTTACCAGGATGCATCCAAGGACTCAGTGAAAACATCAGTTATAGTTTGAATACGCGTGGCCCAGGAAGTGGCACTATTAGGAGGTGTGGCCTTGTTGGAGTAGGTGTGTCACTGTGGGCGTGGGCATTAAGACCCTCATCTGAGCTGCCTGGAAGTCAGTTCTCCTAACGGTCTTCAGATATAGATGCAGAACTCTCAGCTCCTCCTGCAACATGCTTGCCTGGATGCTGCCATGCTCCCACCTTGATGATAATGGACTAAACCTCTGAACCTGTAAGCCAGCCCCAATTAAATGTTGACCTTGTAAGAGTTGTCTTGGTCACAATGTCTGGTCACAGCAGTAAAACCCTAACTAAGACAACATCCAAGTACCCAACTGCTGTGGGAAAATGGGAGAAGAGAAATCAATAGGCAAGAAAACTCCCAGATTCTGCCCAGGAGGATTTGGACTCCTAAATTGAGAAATGATTATTACGGTTTTTGCTTTTTAGAGACAAGATTGCAGTGGGTAACCTTGGCTGGGAACTTTCTTTGTAGACCAGGTTGGTCTTGAACTCTCAAGAGATACACCTGCCTCTGCCTCTCAAATGCTAGGATTAAATGCCTGCACCACCACACCTAGCCACGAATGACTTTAATAGGTTGTCCTTTGTGGAATATGGAGATTCCTCAAAAAAATCAAATAAAAAATGGGACTACCATATAATCCAGCTATATCACTCCTGGGACTATCCCAAAAGATTCTGTCACATTAGCACGGTTATATTTGCATATACATGTTTATTGCTGCACTGTTCACCATAGCCGAGAAATGGGGCCAGCTTCGGTTTTCATTATAAACGGATTTTAAAAAGTGATGTAAGTGTTGGCAAAATGGTAAAGCCCTTGCTGTACAACCCTGACTGCCAGACTTCAATCTCCTGAACCCAAGTAAAGGCAGAAAGAGCAAGCCAACTCCCAAAACTGTCTCCTGGCTTCCATGTGTGTGCTGTGGCAGGAATGTGCCTATGCCCTCCCCATCCCCAATAATATAATAAATAAAAGAAAATGTCAAGTCATGGCAGCTCCCGAGTGACACCTTATCTCTAAAACAGCAACAAAACAAACAATAAATTAGAAGGAAAAAAATAATAGACAAGGAAACGTGACACATACACAGGGGAGTTTTATTTGGTCATTAAAAAAAAATGAACTCATGTCATTTGCAGAAAAGCAGAAGGAATTAGAGATCATCATGTAAAGCAAAATAAGCTCAAAAAGACAAATACTGCACATTTTCTCTCATCTGTCTTATCTAGATTTAAACACGGGGGGGGGGGGGGGGAGAAAAGGAGAGAGAGAGATACAGAGAGAAACACAGAGAGAGACACACACACAGAGAAGAGGGAGGCAGAGAATGGGGTGGGGGACAGCATTGTGAAATTAGAAGGGAGACTTAGTTTTCTATCACTGTGACAAAACATCTTATCAAAGGAAGCATTTAATTTGGTTTATAATTTCAGACGGTTGGAGTCCATGATACCATAGTGAAGGAACAGCTAACAGGTCACATTTTGATTCACAACTCAGGGAGAGCACACTGGGGATGGCATGTGTGGTGGTTTGAACATGCTTGGCCCATGGAAAATGGTACTTTTAGGAGGTGTGGCCTTGTTGGAGGAAGTGTGTCACAGTGTAGGCGGGCTTTGAGGTCTCGATGTTCGTGCTCCGCCTAGTGCGGAAAAATGCATCTCTCCCTGGCTGTCTGCTGAAGAGAGTCTCCTGAAGGATGAAGATATAGAAGAACTCTCAGCTCCTCCAGCACCAAGTCTGCCCACATGCTGCCATGCGTCCCACCAGGAAGATAATGGACTGAACCTCTGAAACTGTAAGCCTATCCCAATTAAATGTGTTCATTTATAAGAATTGCCTTGGTCATGGTGTCTCTTCACAGCAATAAAATCCAAAGATAGCATGAGTCCTTTAAAAGCTTCCCCTGATGTTCCAGTGAGACATCTCCTCCAAAAAGACCACATTTCCTAGTCTTTCCCAAACAGTTCTACCCACTAGTGACCAAGTATTCAAACACGGGGCCATTCCCATTCAGTCCATCACAGGGGCTATTAGAGGGAAGGAAGGGATTAAATGAAATGGAAGAAAGAAAGGAGGTTAGATAATGGGGAGGATTAAAAATACACATTTTCAGGGGCTGGAGAGATGACTCCCTGCTTTAGAGTACTTGTTGCTCTGGAAGAGGACCTGGGTTCAGTTCCCAGTACTCACAAGGTGGCTCTCAACCATCTGTCCCTCCAGTTCCAAGAGTTGAGACACCCTTTTCTGCTCCCTGTGGGCACCAGGCACACACATTGTGCACATACATACATGTAGTCAAAATGTTTCTACACATCAAATATAAAGTAAGTAAATATATATATATATATATATATATATTTTTGGTTTTTGTTTTTTGGAGACAAGGTTTCTCTGTGTAGCCCTGGCTGTCCTGGAACTCACTCTGTAGACCAGGCTAGCCTCGAACTCTCAAACTCAGAAATCCACCTGTCTCTGCCTCCCAAGTGCTGGGATTAAAGGCGTGTGCTACCACCACCTGGCCCAAGTTTCCTTCTTGAAAAGGGCAGTCCTGGGCCGGGAAGGAGCTCAGTGGATGGAGAGCTTGCCTAGCATGCTTGAGGCCCTGTATCCTAAGCACAGCATCAACTGGGTGTGGCTGTGAATACTAGTAATCCCAATACTCAGGAAGTGGGGCAGGTAGATCAGGGATTCAAGGTCTTCCTTGGCTGTGTTGAGCAAGTTGGAACTTTATGAGATACTGATAAGGAAGGAAGGAAAGAAGGAAAGAAGGAAAGAAGGAAGGAAGAAAAGCAAGCAAGCTAGGGAGATCACTGATCACTTAGTGGTTAAGAGCATTTTCTACTCTTGCACAGGAAGGAGGTTCAGTTCCCAGCATTCATATCACATGGCTGGCTCTCACTCCCTGGTAACCCTCAGCTCCAGAGGACCCCATACTCTACTCTGGCTTCTTCAGGCACCTGCACACACATGTACACAGATACATGTTCACTCACATCCACATACGTACATTAAAAAGTATTTAAAATGTAAAGAATAAAAGGGCAATTCTTGTCGGGCAGTGGTGGCACACGCCATTAATCCCAGCACTTGGGAGGCAGAGACAGGTGGATTTCTGAGTTTGAGGCCAGCCTGGTCTACAGAGTGAGTTCCAAGACAGCCAGGGCTACACAGAGAAATCCTGTCTCGAAAAAAAAAAAAAAAGAAAGAAAGAAAGAAAGAAAGAAAGAAAGAAAGGAAGGAAGGAAGGAAGGAAAGAAGGAAGGATGGAAGGAAGGAAGCAAGCAAGCAAGCAAGCTTGGTCCCCAGTTTGAAGTGGCTCTGAGGCTACCTGGCTCTCTCTACCTTTGAAAGAATGATCCTTACCAACAGAACTTTGAGGTGTTCAGAGGGCCCCCTCCTACCCCTTATAGCTGCCTATAATTAATTCCAGCTCCCTGTGGCCATGATGCAGCAGCTGGAAGTCCTGAGATGCTTTTTTTTTTTTTTTAAAGGAAAGACCATAAAAGATAACTTTGGTGGACAGGGATCAGTAAAACTGGGACAACAGCAACAGCTGAGTTCAAGGGTCAATGTCTGGGAGTAATTGGGAAAGTTTTGTGCTGACAGCTGTGTGCCTGAAGTTCAAAAGTGCTACCAAACAAGCCCCCGGGCTAATTCAGGCTAATGGATAGCTGGCCCAATATACAGCAACAGCTGAGTTGTGATAGCTGACAGGGTCCCTGGGGGCCCAGACTGAGCCTTGGGGCTTCCCAGTAAAATGTGACCTTAGCCAAGTCACTCAGGAAAGGAAGAAAAGAAAACCCAGCTTCTGTGGAGTGAGTGCAGTCTCTTTCCATAAAGGAGATTCCTCCAGAGCAGAACAAGGTCCCAATAGTGCATGAGAAACCGACAGCGATTGTAGACTCCAAGGCTCTATAGCTGGGGAGTGGGAAGATAGATTTAAACTTTTCAGTTGAGTCCTGGAGTCTCTCCTTGAGCTTTAGCTGCCTCCTCTATAAAACTGGTGATAGTGATAATATGCTTGTCTTGGGGCTGAGGTTCCACCCAAAGCTGTGGAGGCAGCAGCAGCAGCAGCAACAACAACAACAACCACAACTCACCTCAAACACTAAGAGGCACATTGGAAGTTCTAGTATCTCCCTTCTAGCAACCTGGGTGGTCATTTTCCTGGAAATGTAGTCATCTTACTTTTTGCACCCCAATATCAGGTTTGTGGGTGAAGAACCCGGAATTTTCATTGAAGTCTAAATTTTCATTTAGACTTTACTTCCTCCCTACCCTGCTTTCCAGACCTTCTCTCTTTCTCAGTAAGGCCAGGCCCCTCTCCTATTCAGATTTTGGCAGACATCAGTGGGTGTTCCCTGGGAAAAGAAAGCAGGGCGGGCGCAGCTCTTGTCGCCGCTTTCCCCAAACCCCCTGCCTCAGAAACCAAGACATCGGAGGCCTTCGGAGCTCCCAACCGCCTTGTTCTTCCCCGGGTCCGGGACAGCAGCTGGTCCCCACCCCTCCGGTGTAAGAAGGAGGGAGCGACTGGAATCCCTCGGCTGATGCTGGGAGACTTGAGTTAATCCGGGGTGGGAAGTGGATCCCGGTTCATGGGGTACAGGGGGAGCTGTCCAGCCCCGCAGCCCGAGCTGGAAGAGAGAGTGGGCCAGGGCGCTCCAGGCCGAGCGAGGCGCGGGTGCGGCTGTAACTCCCCCTGCAGCCCGCCCCCCACGTGGCCGCCGCCGTGCCAGCCCCTCCGAGGAAGCGGCGCGGCTTCCTGCGGCTCGGGCGGGGGATATAGGCGCCCCCGCCCAGGCCAGCTCAGCTCCGCCGCCCCTCCTCACCATCTCGCCCAAGGCGTGATGGCCCCGCTCCGAGTAGAGCGCGCCCTGGGTGGATCTCGGCTCGGTGTGACCCGCGCCCAGCGGCCCGCAGCGCTCCACCTTACTCCGCTGCTGCTGTTGCTGCTGCTGCTGGGCGGTGAGCGCAGTTTCGGGGCCCGGGTGGGAGATGCGGGAGGTCTGGGAGGGGAAGGGCCCTGGGCCATCGAGGCCAGCACGGGACCACCCTCTGAGTACCAACCGACGTGCGTAGCCGCTCTGACTTGCAGATGGGTCCTGAACACATCTCTGGTTTGGCGCAGGCCGGCTACTTCCCACTTAAGCTGCTTCCTACTTAAGAAAAGCTGGGGTGCCTGCCCGGACCGGGCGGAGAGATGTTAGGAGGTTCAGGACTGACAAAGAGGGAAAGGGCTTTGGACCCGGGTGTGATTTGGACGCAGCTGGTACCAGCCGCTCCCTTCCTTCAATAGGACAATCCCATGGGGAAGGTGGGGAGATTATTCCTCTTTATGTTCCAAAGCAGTGCTGATTTCCCAGGGCCTTGGTCACTACCCATAAACAGGCACCACTGTTCAGACCCCTCTCCCCTTGTCATCCCACCCTTCCCGTTCATTTCTTTATACAGCTGTCTCATCCTCTCCGGAGTCCCTGAATCAATCTCATCCCACTGAGGACAGCCCTCTGTCAAAGGGTGAGTGCCTAAGTCTGTGGGAAAAAGACCTAGTGGAAGGATAAACCCAGCACGGGAGGAATCCTTTCACAAGACAACTGGCTAACCTCTCTGGTGTCTCTTGGGGTTCCTATGGTCTTTCTCCCTATCATCTCAAAAAACCACAGGCCAGTATCTTGCCCCAGTTGGGTAAGAAGAGCAAGACTAGGTGTATGTGGATATGCTTGCCAGGCTGGGAAAGGAAATATTATGTACATGGTTCCCATTACAGGATTCCTGAACCACAGAGTCCTGAGAGAGAATGCTTCTCTCAGTCACAGGTGTCCTGCTAGGGACCTTTTCAGATGGATTCCCTTCTCTGAAGGCAGAGGACTGTACTTTGGAAATACCTGGATTGGAAGGCTTGGAGGGAGGGCCAGGGGTGTGGTCACTATGAAGCCTATGTCCCCACAGGAAAGATAGAAGACTATGAAACGAATGTCCTGTCTTGCTGGTATTATTACAAGAGTTACATGGATTCTGTCAAGGACTGGTGCAACTGGACTTTGATTAGCAGGTAGGGGCAGTGTTGAAGGATGGCTCAGGCCAGGAATTGGACCTGTTCCTTGTGGGTGGGACATCCTTCTCCCTGGGCCCAACCCTTCTGTCACTCAAACCCCCTACTGCTCTCCAGGTATTACAGCAACCTGCAATATTGCCTGGAGTACGAGGCAGACAAGTTTGGCCTGGGCTTCCCAAACCCCTTGGCAGAAAGTATCATCCTTGAGGCCCACCTGATACACTTTGCCAACTGCTCCCTGGTGCAGCCCACCTTCTCTGATCCCCCAGAGGACGTGCTCCTGGCCATGATCATAGCCCCCATCTGCCTCATCCCATTCCTTGTTACTCTCGTGATTTGGAGGAGTAAAGACGGCGATGCCCAGGCCTAGGGTCCATTTCTCAGCAGCCATCTTTTCCCTTTCCCCTGCTGGAACCAGGAACCTGTCCTCCCCTCCCTATCTACTTAGTCTCATCCCTCCCACAGACCTTTGGATTGGTGGAAATGGAAGCAAAGGGGACTCATGACACAATGTCTGTAGTCTTTAAAATAAAATATGTTTTTGTACAATATTGCCTTCCTAGTGGGGTCTGTGTTGATGATAGTCCTACAGGCCATCGTTACTGGGCAACAGAGCTTGAAGAATCTAGATGGCCCTGCCGTTCAGTTCGTTTCACCTGCCCTCTGCCTCCACATGAAGGCCATGTTCCTATACTCTTTCCTCTCAGGGAGGGGCCTTTCCTGCAGCTATCCAAACTCTGCTCCAGGAAATGAGCAGGAAGAGACTCCCTTCCGGTCTGGACAGCAGCTGGGGGCCTGTGGTTGGGAAGGTGTGGGAGGAGGGGCAAGAAATCTCTACAGTAACCCCTGCATGGGAAAAAGGCTACCCAGGAGCCCAGCTTTGCCCTTTCTTCATGACTCAGTTTACTCTAGAACCAAAATGAAGAAATATGATTACCAACAGGAATTTTTCCATAAGAACCTCAGGCTTGAGGCCCAAGGCAATGGGGGCCTCCTTTACAGGATTCTACTGTTCCCCCTCTATGTTCTTGGCCTTCATCCCACATTGTCTAAGAGATCCACCGTGGGCACACACTGCCCCCTGGTGTCCACTAAAACCAACAACCACACGATGTATAAAATCTGGAAGAAGCTCTAGGCTGAGAAACACTGGACCCTGGGGTTCAGAAATATTATCTCTGTCACAGCCTAGTTCTTAGCCAGTCCCTTCTATAAGCTTCTTGAGAAATATGGATACTATACTCTTATCAACACGTCTACTTCGCTGTAACTCACCGTTAGTGTACGAACAGTGTTTCCCACACAGGGAAGATCAATTTTCCTCAGAGAGAACTCTTGTATTTAATCCTTCCTGGGCTACACTTACCAGGTCCCCCCAAACACAGGCAAAGCAACTTTGCTTTCTGTGGAAACACCTGATTATCTTTTGCAGCACTCTTAGCCTCTTTAGAGGCTTCTGTTCTCCCTGCTGAAATATCTTCGTCTCAAAATACGTGCATGTCTATTTCTTGGCGAATGCTTATCTGTTTTGTAGATAGATAACTGAGTTTCTCAGAACCTTCCTATTTGTGGGCAAAGATAGACTCCTCTCAGGCCACATCTATCACCAAAGATCTTTTGTTTTGTTTTTTTTTGAGACAAGGTTTCTCTGTGTAGCCCTGGCTGTCCTGGAACTCAGAGATCTGCCTGTGTCTGCCTCCCGAAGGCTGGGATTACATGTGCGCGCACGTGTGTGTGTGTGTGTGTGTGTGTGTGTGTGTGTGTGTGTGTGTATTTGAGGCTGGCCTCAAATTCAGAGATCCAACTGTGTCTGCCTCCCAGTGCTGGGATTAAAAGTAAGCGCTACCACTGCCCAGCAACCTTAGCATGTTTTAAATTTTCAGCTGAGATAAACATTTGCTCTATTTCTATGAATGCATATTTGTTTTCCTAATATGTACCAGGGACCTGCTGGTGTAAAATACTGTGTACAGCATGGTGTTGGAAAAGGCAGGTTAGAGCAATTCTGGTTTCTACCCTCAACAGCTTTAACCCCTGAGAAACTTGACATGTACAAATAAATAAGATATCAGGACAGACAATGGCAGTTATACAAGGGAAACAGCCCAAATTAATAATCCAAGTACAAAGAAGGAGGGAGGGAATGATGTCTGGCCGAGATGATCACAGGAATGTGCTGTTAGCCTTTCTGTGGCTTGTGATGAAATACTAGCCAGAAGCAACTTGAAGGAACAAAGTTTTATTTTTTGCTTAATGTTCCAGAGCATGGCTATTGGGTTTCATTGTTTCTGGGGCTATGGTGGGGCAAGAATATCATGGCAGGGAGCAATTGGTCAAACAGAAGCCTCATGGCAACTGAAAAGCATAATCTGGCAGAGACTAGGGACAAGGTATTCCTTCCCAGGGCATGCCCCTGGTAACCTATTACCTCCTACCAGTCCCTACTCCTTCTAATAGTCCACTCTGCTATGGATTTGTTAATGAATTACCTCTTGATACAGTTAGATTCTTCAGGATCTGAGCAGCCAAACCATAGCAAACATAGCTGGCGTCCAAGCCTTCCACACATAAACCTTCAGAGAGACATTTCATATCCAAACCATAACATGTAATCAGAAGAGGGCAACTGCAGAGTTGGTGCGTGGCAAGGCCTTAGGTGAAAAGTGTTCCCCTAGAGCAGACACTGTAAATGAGCGTGAATTAGGAAGTCATTGTAAGACTCCAGGAGGAAAGCCTGGCTTTGTGGCTCACACCATTGACTCTAGCATTCAGAGGGCATCTCTGAGTTTGAGGCCACCAAGATCTATGTATGTAGCATGTTCCAAGCCAGCCAGGCTTACAAAGTGAGATCCTGTCTCAAACAACAACAATAACAAAGGTATCCAAGAGTGAGAAAATCAAGACTTAGCCAAACTGATGAGTGGGAAGGTAAAACTAATTATCAGCAGGAGATATGATTAAAATCAAGGAAGGGAATCTAGAGGATCATCCATCATGAGGGGGTGAAGGAGAGGGGTTAGAGATAAGTCAGACTTTGACCTTCAGAACTGACCTAAGGAAAAACAACATAGGGGGCTGAAAAGATAGCTCAGAGGTTAAGATTGGCCACTGCTCTTGCAAAGGACCAAAGTTCTATTCCAAGCATCCATATCAGGCAACTCACAATAATCCCAGCTCCAGGGATTCTTGTCTCCATGGCACGTGCATAAATGCATATATACATGTAAATAAAAAGAAATGAATGCCTTCCTTAAAAAGAAAGAAAGAATGTTAACAGCCGAGGTAGTGCATGCACATCTCTAATCTTTGCAATCAAGAGGTGGAGGCAGGAGGATCAGAAGTTCAACATCATCATCTTTGGCTACATGGAGAATTCCAGATGAGTTCCGGAAACATGAGACCCTGTCTTAAAGTTTAAAAAGGAAGAAAGAAGAGGAGAGGAAAGAAAGAGATGTATGACAGGAGGTTACAATGAGGTGTTATTATGCCCCACAGAGAATCAACAAGGGGTAGGGAAGGGAGAAAAAGTGGATGTAGAATATCATTTAGGGATTATTTCTGCCCTGAACTACAACATGAGTCCATAGAAAGTATAAGAGCTTTAAAGGTGTATTGGAAAGAAGATACTTGAGGTCTGACTTTAGGGAAATGCTTACCTTAAAAGAATGAGAGAGATCCAGGCATCGGTGGCTCACTCCTTTAATTCCAGCATTCAGGAGGCAGAGGCAGGCAGATCTTGGAGTTCACTGCTAACTGGTCTACAGAGAGAGTTCCAGGACAGTGAGGCCACACGCCTTTAATCCCAGCACTTGGGAGGCAGAGGCAGGCAGATTTCTGAGTTCGAGGCCAGCCTGGTGTACCGAGTGAGTTCCAGGACAGCGAGGGTGACACAGAGAAACCCTGTCTTGAAAATCAAAACAAGGCAAAACAAAAGAATGAGTAAAAGCTAGGTGTGGTGGAACACGTTTATAAACCCATCACTGGGAAAGCTGAGACAGGGGCATGAGAATTCAAGGCCAGTCTGACCACTCAATAGGACCTCACGTTTAAAAAAAGAACAACAACAGACCATAGACACTGTACACATATATAATCTTAGTTCTCAGAAGGCTGAGGCAGTAGGATTAAAGGTTGAGCTCTGGGATTAAAGGTGTGTTCAGCTAACATTACTTTTAAATAGGAATAAACCGAGCTACAGAGAAAGGGAGAGAGGCGTGATGACAGTGATGTCCCGAAAGAAATTGAAAAAGAGAGGCAAGAGTGATGGCAATATGTTACAAAGTCTTGTAAAGAGAGAATGACACTTTTTGAATCCAAAAGAAAAAGGAAGGAAAATGGGGAGGAGCTTTAGAGCCAAGAATTAAACATCATGACAGAGAGAGATTAAGGGATTCTCATAATCATTCTGCAGGAAGAAAAAAGATAAACACAGGCGGACTATCTTGAATGAGGATAACAGGGAACCAATGAAAACAGCCCAGCTTGCCCTCACTTTTTAAAGGTGAGAATTTCCTAGCAGCCCAAGGTCAGCCTTCTTTTCAATACACCTTTTGTTTAGTGCTCTCATCCCTCAAATGGGCTCATATTGCATGTCAGGTCAGAAGACTCTCAAACTTGTATTTCTAGATCTAACAAGGCTCCCCTGAGAGTCCCGTAGTGAGATTAGTCAGAGAGCCTGGGACTCAGTAAACATGTTCTGGTCTTCAGCAATTTTCCATAGCTCAGCAGTGGGAATAGTGTTGGGAGAATGAAAACAGTAATTCTGGTTTGGGAACTGACCGGTAGTTTAGGCAGGCAAAGGGACAGACCTGACTAGTGTAGACTGGTTATGAGTCAGATGAAGCCAAAGGGATTCCAAGTCTGGGGTCTAGAAAGGCGAGGTTGTGGGAAGAGGTTAAGAGCTAAATGTTAGTTTTGATTCTTTGAAAATCGCGTATAGTGATGCAAACCACACAATATGCTCCTATGGTTCTAAAGGAAATGTAAGAATGAAGTCAACCTGGGTGGGAATTCAGGAAATTTCGGAATCATGAGTTTAGACTGATTGGTAATCGACACGAAGGTAAAGAAGCCTCCAGGTGTCGATTCTACTTGCGTTCGGCTGACCTCGCAGTTTGCAGAAGTCATTACTTTTTCCTATGTTTAAACAAGAAGACTCCAGAGCTCTTTCTGCGCTTCATGTTGAAGTTTTTCTTTAGACAGCAGCAGATTAATTGGTGACAAGGTCCATTCCCATCCCACTGCGCGCCTCCAGAGAGGAGTCCGGAACCTTTCTGCCGTGGTTTCGGCCCGGACGTGCTGTGGCGGAGACCGGAAGCCCCTTGTCGGTTCCGGGTTTTCTGGGCTACTACGATGGCGATGAGTTTCGAGTGGCCGTGGCAGTACCGCTTCCCGCCCTTCTTTACGTGAGGCTCAGACCCTGAGAAGCCCAGTGTAGCTCCCTCCCGTCCCCGGGGCCCAGGGCTTAGCCCTGATGATTCACTTGGGGTTCCGGGGGAGAAAGGAGCCACCGGCCGCCTTCCGTCCAGCCTGCCCATCACTTCTCCCCTAATGTGCTGCTGGGCTGGTGCTGCTTCCTCTTACACTCTCTAATTCTGCGTCCCACTCCCTTCACCCGGCAGGTTACAGCCGAACGTGGACACCCGGCAGAAGCAGCTGGCCGCCTGGTGCTCTCTGGTTCTGTCCTTCTGCCGCCTGCACAAACAGTCCAGCATGACGGTGATGGAAGCCCAGGAGAGCCCGCTCTTCAACAACGTCAAGCTACAGCGTATCCTCCCTCAGGCTCTTCCATAGCCACACACACGCACTCCCACACTTTTCTACATGCCCAGACTACATCTCCCCGCCTCCCTTTACCCACAGTAGGCAGGTTTCTATTCCAACTGGACTTGAGAAACAGCTAAAATACATGGCAGACAATCATATGCACTCTTGCAGGCAGTGCAAGCTCCCATTACCCTAGCTAATGAGTGCTGGGGTCTATAAGTCCCAAGCTTTACAAACTGGACCCTTTAAAACTATTTGAATCTCTTCTCTGTGAGGCTCAAATCCCCAACTATCTATAATAATTTTCTGTACTTACCCCACCTCTCCCAGGAAGTGAGGGTCATTTATTTTTGCTGTCTGCTTCATAGGTAAAACTTGTGGAGAAGAGGGTAGAGGATGAAGGAAAGGGTAACACCCTTTTATTTTGTAAAACTCTTACCTTTTAGCGGGGTGGTGGTGGCACATCCCTTTAATCCTAGCACTTGGGAGGCAGAGGCAGGCGGATTTCTGAGTTCGAGGCCAGCCTGGTCTACAGAGTGAGTTCCAGGACAGCCAGGGCTACACAGAGAAACCCTGTCTCGAAAAACAAAACAAAACAAAACAAAAGCAAACTCTTGCCTTTTTTTGAGACCTGATCTCTATAGCTCAGCCTATCCTTGGACTGGTGATTCTCTTGTGTCCTTCCCATAAGAGCTGATATTACAGGCCTGTGCCACCACATTTTGCTAGAACTGGAAGTTCTTTTTACCTTCCTTTCCAAATATTGAGGAAATGCAAACTTATATCTTCTTCAAAAATTGCATGTATGTATAAGCAGGGAAAGGAGGGGGCTAGTTGACTCTTCATCATGGGCCTAATTCCAAAATTTTTTTATTTAACCCAATTCACAATACACATGTAGGTCATCCCCTTAACCTGTAACCAGGGAAACTTCCTGTGGAGTCAATTCAGATTGTATTAGAAGAATTGAGAAAGAAAGGTGGGTTCAGTTCCTCAGATATCTGGTTTGTTTTTTTAACAGTGTTTTTTGCCAGGCGGTGGTGGCCCACGCCTTTAATCCCAGCACTTGGGAGGCAGAGGCAGGCGGATTTCTGAGTTTGAGGCCAGCCTGGTCTACAGAGTGAGTTCCAGGACAGCCAGGGCTAAACAGAGAAACCCTGTCTCGAAAAAACAAAAAACAGAACAAACAAACAAACAAACCCAGTGTTTTTAAGTGTGCAGTGATACTTGTCTTCATACATGTCTGTATAAGGGTGTCAGATCCCCTGCAACTAGAGTTACAGACAGTTGTGAGCTGCCATGTGGGTGCTGGGAATTGAAGCCAAGCCGTGTCCTCTGGAAGAACAGTCAGTGTTCTTAACCATTGAGCCATCTATCCAGTCCCTCACCCCCCCCCCCCTTTTTCTTCTTACTTGGGTTTTTTTCTGAGGGCACAGCAGGCAACTCTTTTCCTTTTAGTGACTTTTTTTGTCTCCCCCAGCTTGAGGCCCCAAGTATTCTGAGACGGCCAGTTCTCTCCCCTCCCCTGTTAGTATACAATATTAAAATCCCTCTCTGACCTAAGAAGAGACAGACTAAGGAGAGCAGGGTACCTTGTAAATAAGAATAGTAAAATAGATATTGTATCTCTTGTTTTGATAGCAGAGTCTCACCCATTCTGTCCGATGTTGGTATTTGCCTCTGTGCCTATTTTAGAGCACGATGCTTTCATGAGTATCTGTTTTACAGGGAACCTCGAGTGGTTGGATAAGAATAAGTCTAGCTTCCTGATCATGTGGCGGAGGCCAGAAGAATGGGGGAAACTCATTTATCAATGGGTGAGGCTGCCCTGCTAAGCACTAAGCAATGACCCATGGGAAAGAAGAATGGTTGCCTGTGCCCGACAGATAGCTGGCAAAGTGGGGAGTGGGCAAGAGGCAGCATGGGCCTTGCTGGCACCCATCCTTCGGTGACGCAATGTCTCTCCTGCACAGAATCTGTCTTTGACTGTAGGAGGCCAGAGGCTACGTGAGGCCTTGTTTGGAGAATGCAGTCCTGGGAACCAGGAGTGCTATTGTTGGCTGGAGCCTCTGGCCACAGGAGATAAATGGGGAAAGGAAGGGAGAAAAAAAAAAAAAAAAAAACCTGGGTTCCCTCTCCCACTGTGCGTTCATGGCAGAGTCCACATGAATGAGACCTTCTGAACCAGTGTGGGTGTGACGACAGAATACTCTGTCCCTCAAATTCCTACTTACCACCAGCTCCAAACATTCCCAAGAGAGGAGGAGGGGAGGAAGCATCAATGGCCTAAATATAACAAATACACACCACCCATTCCTGAACAGAAAATAACCAGAATGAGAGGTCACTTTTGAGACACGTGAAAGGCTGTGGCTTAGTGGTTCTGAATGTGTGTACACACATACAAATATAGCACCTGTAGGGTTTACGGGCTTAGGACACTGTAGAGGTGACAATCCTGATTTGGGTATAGGTACCATTCCTGGAGAAAAAAAAAAGGTAGAGCTGAAGTTCACCCTGTCCCTGGAGACTCTTGGTCCTTGCTCAGCCCTTATTTTTTGTGCCCTCAGGTTTCCAGAAGTGGCCAGAATAACTCTGTGTTTACCCTGTATGAACTGACCAGTGGGGAAGACACAGAGGATGAAGGTAATACCTTTTCCTTCTTCCAGTACTCTAATCACAATCCTCTTTTCGCCAGTGTTTTGTTTTTTATTATTTTTTTTTCTTCTTCTTCTTTTTTTTTTTTAAAGATTTATTTATTTATTTATTTTATGAATATACTGTAGCTGTCTTCAGACACACCAGAAGAGGGCATCCAATCTCATTACGGATGGTTGTGAGCCACCATGTGGTTGCTGGGATTTGAACTCAGGACCTCTGGAAGAGCAGTCAGTGCTCTTAACCGCTGAGCCATCTCTCCAGCCCTTTTTTTTTTTTATTTTTTTTTTTTTTTTTTTTTTTTAGTTGTTGTTTTTTAGAGACAGGGTTTCTCTGTGTAGCCCTGGCTGTCCTGGAACTCACTCTGTAGACCAGGCTAGCCTCGAACTCTTGAACTCAGAGATCCGCCTGCCTCTGCCTCCCAAGTGCTGGGATTAAAGGCGTGCGCCACCACTGCCCGGCTTCTTCTTTTATTTTTTGGTTTTTCGAGACAGGTTTTCTCTGTGTAGTCCTGGCTGTCCCAGAACTCACTCTGTAGACCAGGCTAGCCTCGAACTCTCGAACTCAGAAATCCGCCTGCCTCTGCCTCCCAAGTGCTGGGATTAAAGGCGTACACCACCACCACCCAGCTATGTGTTTTGTTTTTTAAAGGCAGAATTTCTCTGTGTAGCCCTGGCTGTCTGAGACTTGCTATGTAGATCAGGCAGGCCTTGAACTAGGAACTACTTTGAACTACTTTGCTCTCTGTTGCTGCGATAAACACAAAGACCAAAAATAACTTGGGGAGGAAAGGGTTTATTTATTTGGCCTTACATATCTTGATCACAGGCGATCACTGAGGAAGGTCAGAGCAGAAAGTCAAGCGTGAAGAACCGTGGTGGAACAGTGTTTTCACACATAAAAGAGATCTGCCTGCCTCTGCCACCACCTCCTGACCAGTATTGGTTTAATGCATCATCAGACTAACCATTTCTCTGTCTCTGAATTCCATAATGCAAAAGTTCTAAGTTGGTTTTTTTTTAATGTTATGTATGTGGTTACCTAAATGTTTGTATATGCACCACATATGTGCCTGGTGCCCATAGGGGCCAGAAGGGGGTCATTGGATGGATCCCTTAGAACTGTCATGAGCTGTCATGTATGTGCTAAGAACCAAACCCCTTACCTCCGTAAGAGCAGAGAGTATTTTTAACCACTGAGCTATTTCTCCAGCCCAATGCAAAACTTTTAAACTCTCATCTAAACATTTCATACCATTTGAATTCACAAAGAGAACAACTCTTTGTTGGTGTGGAAGTTTGTATATTTTATAGGATTTTTCAAGGGAATGTTGAGAATTATTACTGTAGAAGCCAGTTGAGGAACCAGCGTGGGGATTAAGCTTGGAATCTCATTCCCTGCTGACTCAAGCTCTCTTTCACTGTTCCTTCTCATAGAGAGCTCAAGATTTGTGGGTGTCAGCTGAAGGTATTGGGCCAACATCCCCAGCCCAACCCCCACCCGTTTAAAAACTTTGGGTTTGTGCCAGGCAAGGATTTGTATGGTCTTTGATTTTTTTTTTTCACAGAGTAAACACCTTCTTAGCTCCTTTTTTCTGTGACTCTTTATTCTGATCCCCAGGATCACCAAAGGCTTCAGTCTTTGCCAGGGTAAGGGGGGTGGGGCTTCCTGCCGGGCTGTGACTGCTCCAGCACTTTACATCTCTTGGCTGTCTCCCCTCCCCTGCAGGCCTCTGCTTGCTGTTCCCACCAGCAAGCACCCCATGAGTTCAGCACTACAGCCTGGCCCAGCCCACCACTCAGCCTGTGCAAAGCTGGAGGCTTCCCCAGAATGCTCACTCTGACTTGAGCTGGGCTCCCTCGGGGTGAGGTGAGCAAGCCTGTCAAGGCTTGTCTTGCTGCCTCTCACACCTCTCAAGAGTATCATCCCATATCTCTGGTCTAGATACTCCACTGGCCTTTGGTGCCTTTACAGTTAGAAAAGGGCAGGTGTTAGCTCTGAACTTCAGCAGTCTCCTGGCTAGGGGGTGCTGACTACACTTCTGTGTATTAAGGCAGATTCTCCTGGTTTGTGCAACTTTGGATAGGGTCCCTGTCTAGTGCATGGGCACTGGCTTAGGTCTGATTATCAGGGTTACTTTGTGGTCCTAAAGGCGAAAGTTGTTCCTGGCACATCAGATATTTGATGGGAGCAAAGGGAAAGAGAGCTCAGGGGGCAGATCCTTCAGAATTGAGGCGGCTTATTGTGAAAGAACCCTGATTCACTTCATGCTGACCCAGGCTGCCCTCTACTCCGTACACCCCAGGAATGCCCAGGAATTGTGAGGTACAGCTGCAGCAGTGCAGATAGTATACAAATAGAATATCTTGGCTTTGGTAGGTCTCAGCTTCTAGCTCAACCACGGTGAGAGCGGAGTATCCCTGACTGACCATCTCTTCCTGTCTAGAGTTCCATGGGCTGGATGAGGCGACCCTGCTGCGCGCTCTGCAGGCCCTGCAGCATGAGCACAAGGCTGAGATTATCACTGTCAGCGATGGCCGAGGAGTCAAGTTCTTCTAGCAGAGACCGTCTCCTTTACTTCTTACCTCCCACCCTTCCAGGGCTTTCAACAGGAGACAGACCTAGTGTCCCCACAGGCTGGATCTGTCACTCCACCAGACTCAAAGGGCTCAAGTCCTTAAAGCTCAGACTTAGGGATGTTTCCCACGGAACCCATTATTTCTGTCCCTGGGATAGGGTAAGCCCACAGTGCCACAGAGAAAAGATGTGTTTCTTGCCCTACCTCCTTTCCCTTCCTATACTGTCCCTAAGCCAGGGCCTATAAACCTGACACTTTACATATGTTCTCACACATAAGTACACACCCACCTACATGCGCCTGCACAAGCTTCTTTCTCCTCCTCCCACTCCTTTAGCTGCTGTTGCCTCCCTCTCAGGCTGGTGCTGGATCCTTCCTAGGGATGGGGGGAGCCCTGGCTGCAGGCAGCCTTCCAGGCTATACGAAGATAGGAAGCCCCAAAAGGGGCCTGGCAGTGAGAGGCGGGCCCACTCTGATTTATGATATTAAAATCTCTCCTCCCACTGTCCGCCTGTTACTACTGCTGGACTGGAACTAGGGAAGGCGGTGCAGAGTTCCACCTGAATGAGTCCCAGCCAAGGGAAGAGAAGAATCCTTTGGCCTTTGTACAGGAGAAGGACCTCTGGGCCTGGGGGGCTCCAGTGAGCCTGTGGTTTGCCATGTGCTGGGTGGGTTGTGTGGAGGAGTGCGGGTGGAACACAGTTTGGGGACAGACTGCTTGCTCTCTAAACTGGAGTCACTTAATTGCTCCCCCATGGAAGTCCTGAACTATTCTGAAGCCCCTCCCTCCACCCATGATGGTCTGGGTGGGGTAGTTGTGGCCAAGGGGAGCTGGGGGGGTAAACCGGATGTGGACTTTGGTTTATTGAAGACTTTGGCAAACACAAGGGGAGGAAAGAGAGCCCACAGTAAAAACAGCCTTTCTGGCCAGGGCCAGGCTCAGGCCAAAGTGGGGTGGAGCTGATGGGTGACCATCTCTTGGTTGGGGCCCGGTGGTGGGGAGGGGCTTGACTGGAGTATACACAACCCATCCTTGTGCTGACCAGGGGGCTAGCTGAGTCAGGAAAACCTTACCTTTCTAACTCTGGTGTTAGGCCTGGGGCTACTCCTGATTAGGACCGGGTAGTGCTGCCTTATCAAGGGTGCGCAGGCTGCTGGTGCCCCTCCCCCTCACTGAGGCATAGGAGCCGTGGTCACTTTTCATCTCCTGTTCCAGTGTTCTCCAACTCCCCCACCCCAAACATGTTTGCCCTCTCCTTGTGCAGGAGCATACCCACTGCCGCCTCCCACTCAGTCAGCTCTTGCCGGGGAAGAAGGTTTAAAGGCGGGGACTCTGGAAAGCAGGGCACGCAGCGGTGGCTAAGCGGCGGTCGAGATGAGGGGCAGTACCCCAGCTCCACACAGCAACTAGCTAGGTTCACAAGGGGTGGCCCTGGGGGGTGAGGACCGGTCTCGGCCTTGGGCGGGTCGTGGGGCGGAGTCAGGGGCGGGTCGCCGGGCAGGCCAGCCGGGGGCTGGGGCCCCAGCAGCTCAGCCGGAGCGCTGCGTACCCAGCCGGTCCGCCTGTCAGGCTGCCGCTTCCAGCCGCCTGGCTTTCCGTTCTGCGGCGCTCGGCCCTTCCCATGCTAGCGCCTCGTAATACGGACACCGGGGTCCCCATGTCCCAAACTGAGGCTGATCTGGCTCTGCGGCCATCCACGTCTCTCACCTCCACGGGGCCAGCGACCCGCCTAGGGCCACCTCCTCGCCGAGTGCGCCGCTTCTCTGGGAAGGCTGAGCCCCGGCCGCGCTCTTTGAGACCGAGCCGCCGCAGCTCAGTCGATTTGGGACTGCTGAGCTCCTGGTCTCAACCAACCTCACTCCTCCCGGAACCCCCGGATCCTCCGGACTCCACTGGCCCCACAAGGAGCCCACCTTCAAGCTCTAAAGAATCCCCCAAGGGCACATGGACCGGGGCAGCCCCCGTGAAGGCTGCAGACTCTACATGTCCTGAGGTTACGGGATCTTCAGGAGGTCCGGGGTCCCGGGAGCCACCAAGGGTTCCTGATGCTGCAGCACGGGAACGGCGGCGGGAGCAGGAAGAAAAAGAGGACACAGAGACCCAGGCTGTGGCAACGTCTCCGGACGGCCGATACCTCAAGTTTGACATTGAGATTGGAAGAGGTTCCTTCAAGACCGTGTATCGAGGGCTAGACACCGACACCACGGTAGAGGTGGCCTGGTGTGAGCTGCAGGTGTGGCTGGGTGGTACCTTGGTGGTACCTCGGGATGGGGCCCTTTGAGGGTCTTAGGTTGGGGAAACAGGAGGACAACATCAGAGGAAGGATCTCTTTGTCAGATGTCCAGGCACTCTTGGTTTCCTTGCCGGCAGGATTTTACTGACTCTGGGTGGTTTCAGGAGAAACTGAGGCAGGTGGTATATAGTGGCTCCCAATGAGCCAATGAGCATAGGCAACTTCACTTTCAAATCTCTATACAAATCTGAGGGTTGGAAAACTGGGTGGGCAGCGGGTAGCCCTCCAGTCTCCCACCCTGGGTACTACTGCCCCTTCCTCTCTTGCTCCTCCAAATCCTGAGACTTTCTGCTGTGTCTCTGGTCCTCCTCCTCCTCCTCCTCCTCCTCTTCCTCCCTCTTTATAAACTTAGAGATGGTATGTGGGAGTCCAGGAGCTGAGGACAAGGTCCTCTCCACCTTCAGAAAAATTTAGGGTAGTTGTGGCAGAAGGGCTCTTTCTGGAGCTGTCAGCTTCACAGACTGCTTAACAGCTTTAAGAAACGGGACAGGAAGCCCTCGTTCTAGCTGGAGTCCAGTCCAGTTTCTCATCCCTATGCACACCTGGGGTCTCCCTTTCCATTGCCAAAGGAGCTGAGCCCTTGCAACTTTTGGACTTCAGGAGGATTTGGATTGGCAGTTTCTTCCTCCCGTGGCTCCCACTCTAAGTGTGAGTGGTCCCGGAATTTTTAGGGTACAAAACCAGGAGGAAGGGTCCTTCCACTTTGGCCCTGGCTTAGGACTCTCCCCTAGTGACGGCTAGTGCCGCGCCCCAGGCTCTAAGCCAGGCCAGAAGAATCAGCCAGACTCAGGGGAGGGGGAGGAGGAGGGAGAAAAGAGGGGTGGGACAGCTGCAGCCATGGTGGGGGGGGGGCGTCTCCTGGCCCTGGATCTTTTCTTTCTTGGTACCTTCCTCTGACTCTGTCTAGATTCTGCGGTTTCTAGTTTTTAAGGCCAACCTCTTGATGGCCCCAATTCCCTGCCCGTGGTCTGCCTGCTGCCTGCCGGCTGCCACCCCCCCCCCCGCACCCCCTCACCCCACCCCGCCCCTTCCACAGTCGGCTCTAGCGGCCACAAAGGCGCTATTGAGTGCATAGCTTCCAGACCAGGTTGCATAAAGGCGCTTGTGTCCAGCAGGGGGTCCAGAGTGCTGCCCCAGGCCCAGGATGGGTGTGTTTTGGAGCAATAAGAAGGGATCAACCAAAAGTTGGGGGTCTACAGCCCTTCAGGCTAGCCGTCTCACCAACCATATCCTAGCTATATGTTCCCGCCCGCATTTCTTCCCCTAGCTCTACCCCAGATGTCTCATGTTCTTCTTTGGGGGGGGGGGTGCTGTCTGGATCTGATGTGATCCCTGTCACCCCATCCCACAGACTCGGAAACTCTCGCGGGCCGAACGGCAGCGTTTCTCTGAGGAAGTTGAAATGCTCAAGGGGCTGCAGCACCCCAACATCGTCCGCTTCTATGACTCCTGGAAGTCGGTGCTGAGGGGCCAGGTTTGCATCGTGCTGGTCACAGAACTCATGACCTCGGGCACGCTCAAGACGTGAGCTCTGGCCTGGGTGGGAGGGGGGAGGATGGACTCACTCTGAGATTCTGGGAACTTCTCCCAGTCACTTCAAACTTCCACACTTGAAACCAGGCTCTCTACCGCTTACCAGCTTGTGTGAATGTCAGTATGCATCGAGCATACCAATCAAAATTTTAGGTGTCTTCGCTGTACCCCCATTCTCAACAGTGG